TGGCAATATCCTGGCAAATCTTTTCTGAACCCGTGCTAGCTTAATATCTTTCCCATAATAGGGCGACCAGAACTGCACACAGTACTCCAGAAGAGGTCTCACCGATGTCCTGTTCCATCTCAGCACGATGTCCCAACTTCTATACTCAAAGTCCCAGCAATGAAGGCAAGTTGTGGAAATACAGTTTGTATATGGTACCCACTGCAGTCACTGTGCAGAGGAGAAAAACAATTGTTTAAAGCAGGCTACTCAACTCTAAATGATCTCCACCTTGAGCATTTTTGGGCCCACACTTTATACAGTATTCTATCTTGCTCCAGACAGGTGTATTGAAGATGCTAGACAGGCTTTGGGAAGTCATCACAATTGCTACTTTAGAGGCTATGAAAACATTTATCAGTTAGTGGGCAGTGGGTTTAGCCTAAAAAGGTGACACACAAAGAAATTTGAAGGTAACAAAGTTAACTTGGGCTACAGGGGGTGGAGAGATAAAGAGGAAACACATGTCAGTAAATGGTTCCTTTCCTATAGGATGGTACACAGTGGTGTTTTGTGGCTCACATAAGATATACTGTCAAAGTATATAGAAGTGATTCAGACACTAATAGCACAAAATTTGCCATAAACACAAACCCTTGAATGGAAAAACAGGGTGTAACAAATTCACTGAGATAGGCTGGCATAACAGGCAGACTAAATAGAATTTAATATTACATTTAAGGTGTCCTATTTTGTCAGAAAAGGAAAGGACGGACAAATTAGACTGAATGGTATATGCCTAAAGAGGTGTTGAGGGGCAGAAGGACCCAACATTGCAGGTGCACAGATCTGAGGCAACAGGACATCTTGACAATGGTTAGCAAAGCACGTAGGATCATGGGTTTCATAGCCAGACAAAGAATACAAAACCAGGAAAGTTATGGTATACATTTTTAAAACTAAAGTAGTTCCAGAATATTGCATTGAGGCTTCGGTACCATACTTTGGAAAGGAGATAGGGGTCCTTAGAAGACAGTAGAGCAGATTGACCATAACATCTCCACCAATTAAGGATTTTAGCTGAGATAGTAGGAACTGCCGATGCTGGAGAATCTGAGATAACAAGGTGTAGAGCTGGATGAACACAGCTGGCCAAGCAGCAGAGGATCAGGAAAGCTGACATTTAGGGTCTAGACACTTCTTCAGAAATGAAAGTATTTTAGCTACAAGGTTAGACTGGAAAATGGTAATCTCAGACTAAAGAAAATGGAAGGATACAACTTTGACAGGTTTAGATATAAATGTTTATTTCTTTACACCCATTAATACTATTGGCATCAGTACTTTTGGGGGCAAGGGGAAAGAAAAGAGAAGGCACAAATTTAATGTTTTGGGCAAGAGATGAGCACAGGGTGAAAGATGACAGGAAAAAAACTTATGGAGCAAACAATACAAGGGACCCCAATTTATGCACAACTGACTTATGAACACTCATTCTGAACATGATCCCGAACATGATCCCATACATGGCTTAAATTTTTTTTTTTAAAAGACCCAACATACAACATTACCTGTACAGACAAATGGCTGCTTTCCATTGTGCTCCAACTTGCAAACAAGATCAATTTCCGAGCAAAGTCCAGAACAGAACCCATATGCCTGCCTGTAACCTGGAATTTACAGGTCACAAGGGGGGCTGAAGTGGAGACGTGTGGGGGGGACAAATACAACTAACTGGATTGCTCCAGAGGGCTTGCATAAAGGTGATGGGCCAATATACTCTGCACCATAAATGGCTGATTCTGTTTCGTAAGTAAAGTCACTAAAATTGCCATGATCCTGGAGGACCATTGGGCTGCTCGCTCATTAAAAAGAGGCAACTAGTAGTGGTTTTACCAGAGGGTCATCACACCTCAGGCAAAGGCAGGACCTTCATGGTAACCTCAGCCAGTACAGGAAATGAGCCTGCAGTTTACATTACAATCAAGCATCCAGCTAACCGAGTTGAACAACTGCCTGTAAGCAGATGAAAACCAAGCATCAAAAATTGCTTAAAAAAAAGGATGCTGCTAAAGCTTTTTATTTTACATTCAACTGGACAAAATTTCAAAACAAATATACTTATAACTATAGGAGAAAAGGGTACCAACTAGTTTATCAGCCAGCTTGGATTCTCCATGACACTGCCTCGGCCAAAAGCAACAGGGGCCTGCAGGCTCCCAAGTTGCCCACTAATGAAAAAGGTGCAAGGCTTGAACATATTTCTTCTGTTTGTAGAGAAGTGGTCACTACATATGAAATCATGTCACTTCCAGCACGTTCAAGCTTTGCACCACTTCTGAATTACCCAGGAGCTCGGGGAGCCTATAGTTTCTGGTTACTACTTCCATGGCCAGAACCAAGTTGCCGAACAATCAGTACCCTAGTCTCCTAATAGTATAAACTGCTATAAGAGTGTGTTAAGTTTAGCATCCTTGTATTCATCCTGATAGTTTCATCAGTACATTTCTTATTTCAACACAACCTTCTGCTTAAATAAGTTTGGATCAGCATAGCCACCAGCAAACATGAAACTGTTCAGAATTATAATGGCAGGTTGTGGAAAATTAACATGATCTGGATATTGTGCCAACATAGAGCAAAGGTGCACAAGCTTTCATTGAGAAAATGTCTACATAGGAACTGATTCTTGACATGACGACGAATGCCAATAAAAGTTTTGGAGCCATATTCTCAGTGAATTGTACATTGATTCTTACATTCTCAGAATATTCATATTCAAAAACTTTGAGAAATCTCTCAATCAGTTGCTGAGTTATGTTGGGCCAACTTCAGTTACTGAGCTGGAAATGGCAACTCTGCTCGAGAAACTCAGGTCTGGCAATATCTGTTGCGAGAAAGCATGATGTTTTTGTTTCATATTTCCAGCATCCAAGGTTCTTGGCTTTATTTTGCAGCTAGTATAATGGTGCCTGTATAATTAGCAACCAAGACACATTTCCCATAGAGATTTCAGAAGAGGTCTGACTTTCAGGATATTCTTGAAAGAATAATACTTGGTTTAACAAGACTTAAATTTTAGATTTCTACTTTTGAACATCATACTGTTAATCTACATAATAAATGTTACTTTTCAAGCAAATGTACAAGGCCTTGAGTACTGTGTCCAATTCTAGCCACCCTGCTATAGGGAGGATTAATTAAGATGGAGAGGGGTCAGAAGAGATTTACCAAGAATGTTGCCAGTTATGGAAGGTTTGACTTGAAGTTAAGATGACCTTAGGTGGTTTATAAAATCATGAGGTGTAGATAGGGAAAACCCACCTACTGTTAAACCTAGGATGGGAATTTCAGGACGAGGGGCATATTTTTAAGGTGGGAGAAGAGATTTAAAGACAAAGGACAATTAAAAAAAATATATATAAACACACAAGGGTGGCTTTCACGTGGAATGAACTTCTTGAGGAAGTGATGGATGCTGGCACAGATACAATGTTTAAAGACACATACAAGGTCATGAATAGGGAAGGTTTGGAGGGATATGGGCCAGAAGCAGGCAGGTGGGACTAGTTTGGTTTGGAATTTTGTTTAGCATGGACTGGTTGGACCAAAAGGATGTTTCTATGCTGTAAGACTCCCTGACTAAATTTGAGCATATTAAATAGTCAGTACCTTGGTGAGGAGACAGACGCAGGTTCTAATTCTCCTCTGCTCAGCAACTTGCAACACTAGTGTAATGCTTGGACCAAAACTGAATTCTTAGGCTCCATGCACACAAGCTTTTTTTTTTTTTTAAAAAAAAACAAACAGCACTTGCCCAAGACTTAGGCTGTAAAGATCTAAGAAAATGTAGATGTTATTGCGGAGTTCACTCAAGCAAACAGCTAAGCAAAATAGTAGAAACATTCATTCATCTCATGTCCAAACATAAATTGCAATGAAAACACAGCTCTCGTTGCCCTTTTAATTCTCTGTACAACATTGTGTTGTTGTATTGAAAAGGCTAACATTTAAGGCAGCAAGTGACCACATAAATAAACAGCTTCATTATGCTTTTCCAGAGAGGATCAAAGTAGTTAGCCCTAGCATTTGATTACCTCACGTATGTTGGTTATTGAGTTGCTTGGAGATCTTCAGGTTTCAGGCGTTTTCATTCAGGTTTACTTTGCTCTTGTGGTTCATTCACGATACTAGCAAGTGCACTTGCTCATGACAGGTTACTACTTTGGAAATAAAAAGGCCCCTGCACAACACCACAACTTGCATTACAATGCAAAATGATCCATGAATTATCCAAAAAACACAGATGAATATCATGATTCAGCCATCTGGCTGCACAAAATTATTCAGCAGCAAGTTGGAAGCACTTTTTTTTATTTGCCACTTCATTCCTTGAATACTTGTTCGTTCAATTTATTTTCTGTTCACATGATACCCGTGTTATGCCATTCTGCATTTAGTCATCAGCCTCCGGCTCTGAAGGCCAACAAACAATCAGGCTTCAAACTGTACAGCTTCTATCAGAAGCTTTCATATGGAGCATGCCCAATTTAAAACTGCAAGTGACAGTAATTGAATATTCATTCCCTAGGAATCTGACGTGTGCAGAGATAAACCACTATAATGAGCAGAAATGAACTTTGTAATGGATGGGTGGGAAAAAGGGTTTTGCAGTCCAGTTCTCAAAATGGAACAAGGTGAATGAACATAAAAGCTTCCACACAATTTCATGCGCTTCCTCACAATCCAATTGGATTACAGAAAATTAATTAAATCTTTCCCAGAAAGGATTTCCCCATTTATACTTAAAATTGGTTGCAAATATAAAAGGTTTCAAAACTTGAATAGTGCTGGGGTTTTGGACATATTTAAATCAATCAATCATAAGCATCTAGGCACCTTGTCCAGAAATGCAGGACTAGCAAGTCATCAATATGACTGAATGTAATTATACAACAGACAATAATTAAGAAATTCATTTGCATTTTGAATACATCAAGCTAGATACTGATAAGCAGACATTCCAGTTTTAACAGTCATTTTATTGCACGCGTACAGGAGAGCTCCTTTTGGTAGAAGTTACAGACAAGTGAATTTCAAATTTGACTATAAATACTACTTTTATATATACAGTTTCAAACAATATTATTTATGCATACTCTTATCTTAAAGTGAATTTGCAGGCATGGGCTGACTGCATTGAGATTCCCCAAATGTTAATGTACTGTATTAGATCTTCAGTGCTTATTCTTTCCCTCTCAATTTACATAATATAAAAACACTTGAAAGCAGGCCATTTTACAGCATATTACATTTCAGACTCAGTAGTCAAAGGACTAGTTTACTACGTGACTGCCTCCAACTCCCATCTAAAACTCTTCCACTCCCACCCACCAAAAGGCGACTTTGATTTACCTACCCCCAATCATTGCTTGTGTGCCTCTATGAACAAATACCTCCTGCATTAGTTGAAAGAAGGAAGAAAGCACAGAGGCCAGGTCCAACATTAGTACACAGAGAAGGTGCTTTAGCTGGTAGGCAATAGACAAGACTGGACAGATATCTCAAAAAGAAATGTTACTTTGTTCCCGACCTTGAAGGGACAATGTACACATCACCCTCCAGGCTCCACTCAATTCTGAATGCCGCTGTTTACTTTTTGTGCAGTGCAAGTAAGTCACAAGACGACGTAGCACATAACTTGGAGCAACTTTCAGCGAGTGTTATTTTTTGTGCGTGTGTGTACTCAAGAGCAATTTATACTCTTCAAAAGGTTAGTCCAGTGAACCAGACTGTTTATCAAGTGTTAAAAACAAACTATTCAGCAGTTAGTAGATTTGTACTGTAACGTTTATTAAAATAAATGCCAGGGTTAATAGAAACAGCAAACACCATGAAATAAAATGCAAGCATGTAAAAACATTTTTAACAAGAAACTTATTAAATGGATAATGAGTTAACAAGTCAGAAAAGGCAACACTCCCAATGATAGATGATTACAATGAATCTGCAAGAGTTTCTGGCTATCAAAACCACAGGGCCTCAAATTGGGAACAAAAAATGTATATAGTATATAATATACATACAAAATGAAGATAGAAAAATACATTATAAACTTGTAACAATGGTGGTAATTACAATACTATACATGTGTGTAGGCAATATGTTGAATATTGTACACAGCATATGTAATTGCTTTGCATTTGACCAACCATCACGTAACAGCAATGTCTTTGAACTACACCCCTTAATGTAACTGAGGGAATACATAATACTGTTAAGAAAACTTTCAATGTTTTGGTTACAAAAATAACACTGACAAAAGAGTTTACATTATTTGTATAAACTCAATGAAAGCTGACAAAAATTAAAACATTGAAGGGCAGCAAGTAATAAACACATTGGAGATGGTTTCAAATTTGTTCTTATGCGCTTTGTTCTGAAGTCAAACACTGCAGCATTTCAGTTTAATGATAACAGCTGGTTTGTTGGCTTTTTAATTAATTAGGCAAAACTAAGCCAAGGCGGCCTTCATTTTGTAAGTGACTAATAGGAAACATTTGCTTAGAATGTTTACTCAAAAAAGGCTACGACTTTATGAAAAAATGGCACAGAGAAAATTGAAGGTATAAACTTAGGAAGACAAATGGCACAAAATACAAACTAGTTGAGAAACTATTTCACACTTGTTGCATAGAATCAATGAACTGAATTCTTCAGACAGGCCTAAACTTGAGTAGCTTCACACAACTGTCCTCATACTGTTCTATCATCTTTTGAATTTTTTTGCCAATAAAGACTGCTTCCCTCCTCTCCAATGATGGACTGGCATGCATCATACTTAGGTCAAACAATATGTTAGACACTTACAAATTGACCAGGCAGATATAAGGCACTATTTTGCTTTCTTTATGCTCCTCTCTTCTCACCCACAACCCTGCAAAACACTAGATACACTGTTTTGGTCTTCTGTTTTGTTTACAACCATCCAGTATCACTTCCATTACTTTTTTAAAAATTTTTTTGTATTTTGTTACTGCAAGTAAGTATAAAAAGCTAAATTGTCAAAAATATATATTTCTTCACCAGCACCCTGTAAAAGTATCTAGTTTTCCTCTGTGGTTTAAATGCACTGTACTTATCTACACTTTAATAACATGTATACAGCAAATAGAATAGGCAAGCATGGCTTTCACATCCTTCTTAAAAGAAGTGTCTATTTATGGAGAGAATTAGAAACAGTTTTTTTGCATCCAGAAACATGACACATTATGAATGCACCTCAGTGTCAAGGTATATGTGAACAGTACGAAAGTTATCGGTTGCACTTAAAAATCAAGCTGAGCTCAAAGTACAAGACTAATACATTGGATAAACGTAGGAAGCTCAAACGAAATAAAGACCTTAAATATGTTGGGGAAAACTTTGTCAGGTACATTTCATCTAACATGCACAATAGTGATTGCGGATGTTAGATGCTTTAACAAAAAAAAGTTCAGACCCCAGCAGCTATTTTTGAAACTTTTTGACACTGTGGATTGTCCCTGTGGACAGGTAGCACTGGCAGTAGATGTCTAGGTTTAGACAGAGTCAAATTTAAACTAAGAACAATTGTGAACATGAACGTTCTTGGGGAAACAGGGTAAGGTTTAACAGAAACTTTACTGATCAAACAGAACATCAGAGTGGAGAACTTCACACTGCAGATTATTTTATCAATTGGGCAAAAGACAGTGGTTGCAAAGCTACAAAGTAAAATAAATCTGAACAGGAGAAACTATCCCTTTTAAAAAAATATTGATTGATCCAAGGAGTTGAATTCATTGATAATCTTATTCATTATGCTTTTCTCAATAGCTTCAATAACCTAGAAACTTTGCTTAGCTGCTTATAATACTAAACGGCATCTTAATTCTGGTACGATTCAAAAAAGTCAGAAGTGGCCTTAGAAAAGTGTTTGGCAAAAAAACGAAGGTTCTGTACACGAGATACTTTTAAATCTTTGTCCTTAATTGTAGAGGTCAATATTATTTTGTACTGTCAGTATCGAACTCTCCCCCAATATACCTGACTCAAGGTCCATCCATAATGAATCACAAATGCTTTCAAAGACTTTAACTACTACATAAATTACATCAGATGTCCATCACATTTGTCCATGGCAACTGCCTGTACACCGCTCAATCCCCTGCCAGTGCTGTTAGGAGACCTTTCTTACCATTCTTTAGGGAGAATCTTTAAGAGATGATCACTGAGAAACAGTGGTGAGGGATGAACTGGACTTATTGCTTTAGTATTATTCAGTGCAGGTTCTGGTACCACACATTCACCCAACCAGAAAAGCTGTGGCTGGAGCTTTTACTTTTTTTTAAAAACGCAGTTAGGTAACGAGACGAACAGACAGTGCCTCAGCTCGCTGCATTGAAGACAGGCAAGCATAGGCGATAACCAGTTAACTGATCAGCAGGCAGGCATGGTCAGGTCATCATTGGGTGAAGAGTTCAGAGGTCAAAGGTCATGGGTTAGTTGCCTGTGGCAGCTGGGTAGTTAGGAACATAAGAAAACAAAAAGATAGAAAAAAGATATTAGTGTCAGCTAGTGAAGACTGATGACATGAAAACTAACCATAACTAATAAAACTATTTTTATTGACAAAGATCTGAAACAATCATGAGTAAAAGTATCATGATTTGAACATGAAAACATCAAACTTCTAACAAAGTAATAGAAATACATTTAAGACTAATTAATGGTTAGTAGCAGTCACAATATAAAGTTCAAGGCTGGAAGAATTTTTGCATAAAATACATCTACCCAAAGTCAAACAAATTTAGAGCAGTGGTCCATTAACTACAGTCCTAGTTCCCTCAAGAAAGAGAGCAAATAATTAAATACATAAATATAAAGTTTTAAACTGACAAAATACACAACAAATTGGGCCATATTTTGTTTTCAGACATATCATGCCACATTTATTTCTGACCTTGCACTAAGGCTCTTTCTTCTGCAACCCACAATGGACTGCTGCCACATCCTTGCCCAGGACACCAGGCACTTCTTTCCCGGTGTCAAAATAACTGGGAAGGCCCCAAGTGGAATAACAGGAGACTCAAAAACCACTGCCTCTTCTTTGAGGCACACAAGTTGAAGGTTCAAAGTATCCAACAACTGTGCTTTAGCTTTTGTGCTCATTCCACAGATAACAGAATCCTGTTGAATTTTAGTCTTGCTCACAAGCATGTGACAGCTTTCGTATGGTGGAAAACAGTATTTCAGACCAAAATTGTAATGAATTCACGTGTTCACTTTTTGGTTAATAACTAGAAGCCTGTAACTTTACATACTGGGTACTGTTGAGATGGTGATCCTTTGGTCTCGTACAATTTGAATTGTGGTCCTGCCAGATTTTTGTAGGGTCCAGGACCCAGGACCATTGGATTCATCCAGCCCTGAAGGTCTATAAAAAAAAATTGTGGGAAGAGAGACAGCAAAAGAATTCAAAACGTTTTTCCAAAGATGGTTGCGTTGACTGCTATTAAACATTAGTATTTAACAGCAAAAAAATTGCAAGGCTAAAAAAGGTACTGTTGCCATAGGTCAAAGTTTACATTTAAAGCTCGAGGAAACTATTTTGCTTCCAAAGGTTTATTTCAAATTATACATTTAAAAACCATTGTTGCCACATTGAATGAACATGTAAAAATCTGTTAACCAACTACTTCACAGATCATTTAGGAGCCAAATATAAGTGGGCATTTCAATGGGCATCTGAAATTGAATACTTGGAGAAAAAAGTCTACACAAAACTGTGACATGTACTTCAAATAACTGCTTGCAGTTTCAATTCATATTGCCAAAAAAGTTCAGACAAACAAACATCATTCACCTTAAAGCTCACGTTGAGTACAGTTAAAATCAAATTTATAACATTGCACATATTAAATAAAGTTATTCTATAAAGCCACCACATTTTGGAACCAGTAGGGAAGAAGTGGGACTACACTTACAGCAGGCACACTGTTGAACAATATATACATAATACTTTGGATTTGCAGGAAAGGTGACATCAATATGTACATTTAATAATTTCATCACCTCTTCTGCCCACAAGCACAAACTTTGGGAGCATTCTAGCTAGTGCTTCCTGGAGCAAGTTAACCTTCAATTTCACATGGAACATTAAAAGCACTATTTTAAATATAATGAAGAAATGCTACAAGAAAGTAAAACCTTATTGAACAAAAATATTCAAACAACAGCAGTTACCAGGGCAAAAATTCCAACACAGGAAAGCTAGAACACCAATATTTTATTAAGACTAAATCAGGAGCAAAACATTTGCAGAGATCAAAAAAAAAGAAATACAAGCTCAGTGCAAAATTGAACAGTCTTAGAGTAGGCATAACCCTCAAATATTTGCAGACCTATCATAAATCCTCAGGTACCAACGTTAACTGTAAACATTTCCAATTTATATAATAGAGGGCTGAATATCATCTGTTCAGGCAGTTATTTATAAAGAATGATTCCAGCTGCAAGAGCTACTACTCTAACCTTAAACTAAATGAAGAAATAACTACAGTCAAAAGTCTTTTTAGCTAGTAAAAAATTGTTTTGAAATATTTCAAACTTAATGCTTTTTAAATTATTGTATAAGCCCACACTACTGTCCTAGATTTAAATGCAACTAACCAATTTGGAACCAGCCATTATAATACTCCTGATTTATCAGATTTATATTGCCTTGCAAACATTAAAAAGGTATGAATTGATCGAGAATGTTCAAAGCATTCATTAGATAAACGATTAAGTGAGGACATTTTAGTAGCTTCATAACTTTGAACTCCCAATTCAAAAAAAAACTCCAAAATCTCAGCAACTAGTCCTGTCTTATACAAATGCATACAGTGTACTTTTATTTTATGATTAGTTTATTTTGCAAAGTCATGGATGGAGTGAATTTGCAAAAAAAAGGCTAGATTCAGTGCAAGTAAAACTGGTTTTCATTTTCCTGAATTATTTACTGCTTGTACCATTCAGGAATGTAAAGAATTTGTTCTTGATTTGTAGTGTTCTTTATTGATAATTGGAATAAAATCAGTACGTTACAGTTGGTCATTTCATGTTCCTCAATCCACTAACCCAAGTACTGCCTGTACTCAAAGTTACAGCTTTAATATTGATCAAAGTAAATGCCATTTTGGCGATAAGTCTAAACTAACCTCTGTCTGCGGTCACAACCCTTTGGTAAGGATGGACACGCGAATCATGCCTCCGAACTTTAGTTGCCATCGCACCTAGTTAAATTGTAACAAGTCCAAAAGAGAGTTAGAATTTTTTTCTAGAATAAAACTGAAAATTGGTGAAGTAGTACACAATTCAACAACATACAATGACTTGAAAAATTATGCAAAAGTAAATTTAGGTAGTCTTGCCAGATAGTATTACTTTACTAACTGCTTATCTCTTAGTATTGTGCACTGGGGCTGTTAAAGGGTCTCATTCAGATACTGCAATTAGGAGCTAAAGGTCAGGCACGTATTTATACTCATAGTGAGATCAGCCTGGCTTGAAGTAGTGCAACTCTAGATATTAGGGTTGGAAATCGCTTGCTGTCAACATACAGACAACCTAAGAAAAGGCCTGAGGAATGGTTGCATCACTTATTCATCCAAGTAAATTACTCAAATGCAGCTTCATAGTCAATGTTAGTTGTTTGGCCTATCCCAGCATGTAAAAACTGACAAAAATCAGCAAGATTGCATTTGATTCTCTTTTAGTTGCAATTATTTAAGTGTGATAATACCACCCATTTCTTGAATCAATATTTCCTAACAACTGGCATATAAGCTAAGCTTCTCCTTTTCTGCAATACAATTTTTCCTAAAATTCGACATCCTAAAACTGGACATAAATTGATAGGATTATTGTAAACTGATTAAAATGAACCCTGCAGTCAAAAGTAGTAATTACAGGATTTCTCTCAATAGCATCAAGGAAGGTTCTTTACCAAACCCTAAAGGGCAAAGAACTTCTTTTTTGAAGAAAACGGCTTTGCTTCATTACCACATTGTTACATACAAACCTCAGTCATGTCTTATTCTGTTAGGACTGATCTACATATAACATATACATATAGCTGGCATTTAACAAGGCAAGTTTCTACACAACTTATAACCCTTCCAAACATGGGTCCATTCCCAATTTCAACAATATTTTACGAGCTCTTTATCTTTCCAAAACTTTAAGACTTCTGTGGGCCTTGTTACAATTTTGTGTTGTTAGGTAAACAGCACCACACAAGTTATCTATTTAATTATACTGTTGTGCTATATGGTTAATTAAGTTAGCACCAGTAAATATTCAAGAAAAACTGTGGGCATCAGTTTATACATGGAACTTAGTGCAGAAGAGAGATCTGGAACCACAGTAAAAACCCAACAGCATCCATTGATAAGCAGTTAGTAAAAAAAAAAAGTATAAAAATAAATGAGCCTTGCACCAAGCAGAGATTGAAACACTGCAGATTTGGATCACGAGTGCCAGTTTGGCAAGTGTCAGTGTGTTACAAGGGTTGATCAGTGGTTAGTGTGCATGTGTGCTAGAAGATCAGATTCCAATACCTCTTGCTCTCAGATTTAAAAAAAGAAATGTACTTGACTAACTCAGAACAGTTGCTTTACAGTACCAACAAGAAAGGAGGTCAGAATCAGCATTTCCAGATTTTGCATCAGAATTTCCTTTGAGACATTAATTAAAGCATTCTTGAAGCTTCACCAAATCTGGATCCAATTCACAGGCACAGAGGTTCCACAATGTGATGACAAACCCATAAAGCCTTAGCCACAGCAAATTTGTTTGCAAATTATAATTTCTCTTCAGTTAGCAGGTTATGGGTTAATTTACCAATGCTTACAGATTAATGTTTTTACTGAGACCAAAGCACTAACCCACCATTACAGAAAAAGCAGCAATGTTTGGTAGATGGAAGAAAGCTTGGGACCAGCTATGATTCCAGTAATAGTTTTCATCTGGCCTTCAATTCACCATAGTCAAGTCTTTCCAAAAGCTAATGCCGTATTCATATGGGTCAAGCAAAGAAAACCACAGATTTCAGAATTTCATCTAAACTAACTTATGGCAATCATAAACATTAATGGTGTCTATTTTATTCTTGAATTATCAGCATTATCAATTGAATTATCAATTGTGGACCTACAACTACTGGAAAACTAGACAAATGCATACAGACATTGAGAATTAAAAGAACAATGACAGTGTTATTTAATTTGGGCTGGATTTAAACCCAGACAATAGACAAGAACAAACACTGTTCCAATCCACTGCATTACTGACATTTTTCTTGCAATTTTTCATTCTGATGTAGAATTTTAACAGCTCAAGGATAAACAAAACGCTGATTTGGAGCAATTTTCAGTAAATTTACTGGTTCATATGTAATTCTTAAAGTAGTGCAGGCACCTACAATTAAAAAAGATTTTAAATTATTTTTCACTTTTGAAATCTAACAGTTTGTGGAAAAGCTGAAAGAAACCTCTAATTCTGGTACTTTTTGATTATCACCGTACATATCAGCTCCTTGCTGGTCCAAGTACTTTGACAGGATGTGATATCACATTCTTCCGAATCAGGTCTTCAGTGTATCCACTTTTCAACAAATCGCTACAAGTGAACATTTGTCTCAAAAAAGTGCTTAGGTACTTTAAACCACTGACCGTGTCCTTAAGTCTTAAGGTATATTGTATGATGTGGTAAAGCCTGCCAAATACTGAACACCCTGTACCCAAAATAAGCATCGCTATACTGCTCGTGTTTCAATGTGCTTGGTCAGACTCTTCACTTCTTCTGAAGTTATTTTTCCTGAGGATTCAGACACATGTCCCATGCATTCTTAGCCTTTTGTTGGAAAAGCCATACCTAAGAACAAACAATTATCAAGGTAAGACAATTAGACATCTTCATTTGAAAGAATCCAATGACATTGTACTGTATACCCATTGCTCTCAGTCTTAAAAAAAATTGCGTAATGAACTTTATGAACTTGCAATGATTAAGCTTCTTACCCGCTTGCAAACCCCATCTCTCATGTGCACAGTCCTGCTGTATGAGTAATGTTGTTTTTAAGTGGAGAACTGGGTAATCTGGAATCTAACTGAACTGAATGGCAGGAAAGACTAGTGAGGAGGGGCAAATAATACTCAATGTTATTTGTAATTGTAAGAAGGCAGACTAGATTTTTTATCATGTTCCCACTTTACAAAGCAGGATGTGCTGTTCCCTTTTCAAATAGTCCAAAAATGCAGACTGCCAGAATGGCTTTAATAAACATCTATTTTCTCACCCCAAGGTTTTCAAATATACAAGTTTACTGTGGTTCAACGGGAGCAAATGAAACATCTTGATAATACAAGTTGGCATTATTAGGTATGGAAGTACAGTGGCCACATTACTAGACTAGCAATCCTGAGGCCTAATAATACCGTTGAATTCTCACCACTGCAGCTGGAGAATTTATTTGCAATTAGTTGAATAAAACCTAGAACTGGTACCCCATGAAACTACAGGATTCCATAAAATCCTGGTTTACCAAGGCCCTTTAAAAAGGAAATATGCTGGACTTAGCACAGCAATCTGGCTGACTTTTGGCAGCCCTCAAATCGCCGAGAAGGCACACATTGTATAAAAATTGACAATAAATGCTGGCCTTACTAGCAGCACCCATTTACCATGAGTAAGCAGAAATGATTTATAGGTTGCAAGTTTTCACTTTTGCTCCATGAGTTTTTCTAGAAGGGCTACATGTAGCCATTTCTCCAACTACATAGCCAAGACTTGTATTTTTGTACTTGCATGCTGCACCAAGCCATTACAAAAATATCAATTTTAATAAAATTTCCAGTTACTATTTTAGCACAAGAACTACAGGGCAAGTTGTTTCAAGCACAGTAAAATATTATGATTACATTTTATATTGTACATGTCCTTTTTTTATTAAAATGGAAAGTACGATTATCAAGAAGGAAAAGTCGTTGTTCAAATGAAGGACATCACTACTTTTGGCTACCTCTTCCACTGCCACAACCATACTATGAATAACCCCTAGCTTCTACAGCGTTGCCTTGCAATCAACAGCAAGTTCTTCTCTGCATACATTGGTTTCAAACATATTTATTTCTATTCATAATTGATTCATCTTTAATTTACTCCATTCAACACTGGATGCGTCTAGTACAGTCAGTGATTGTTAAGTAAAAGATTAAAAGTCAATTTTAAACAGACTTAAAGCAGTAGGGCTGACAGAATTTAATTGCTGTGGCAAACTCCATTCAATATCTTGAATCTAAGCTCAGAGAAAAATGGACAAAATCAGCCAGTGTTTTTTTTTGATTTAAAGCAAATAACTAAATTATTTTCATCTGGCTACATGAACATACTTGTTTAACGCAGTATAAAAGGCAGTGCAATCTCAGTCCTCCTTTAAAAAGGAAAGAGCCATACCTTTTTCTAACTTCAAGTAACAATATTTAAACTCAAGACTAGTATATTATTTCCAAAAACAAAACATTAAATTCACAATGTCAATATTGATTAGTCTTACTTTCTGACTTTGCTTACCTAGAACCCCACTTGGCTCCATTGGATATTCCAGTAAAGATGCAGCTGGTGCCAGAGCATATGGATATTCGTAGGGTGCTGTATAAATTATACCAGCTTCTGGAGAAGATGGCACTAAGGCAGTTGGATGAGGGGTTCCATTAGGCATAACTGCAGTTGTCTGAATTGGCCTAATTATATTCATTATGGCAGGACCAGCTGGCGTAGAGGCACGCAAGGCAGCTGGTGGAAGCATGGGCGCAGCTGGTCCAGTTATCAGCCGTGGACCCTGTGACGTTGCTGCAAGAGAAAAGGCAAGGGTAGCTGCAGTAAGCAACAGGGATTGAGAGGGGGGGTGGGGAAGAAAAGGATGGTGAGCAGGAAACAGGAGGGAAAGAATTAAAGAAAAAGTATGATAGGGAAGGAAAACAGGAAATTAGTCCATGCAATGATCACATGTACCCACACAAGCAGCCCTACTGCAAGCTGATTTCCCATTACCAATATTCACCAGGCAAATTTTTAAAGAAACAAAGACAGCGCAAAATAAACAGTGATACAGACAGCAAACTCACCACACAAAAATAGACAAATTTGTGGTTTAAACAAGCAATATGATAAGCACCATTAACAGTTATCTGAGATCAGGGAAATGGAGTGTTATATTGTGTACCTAATCTCCTCTGTTTTTAAGTTCATTTTATTGAATCTGTTATTAAACAATACCTATATAATTCTGAAATGGAAATATGAAAGCAATGTGTACAATTCAGATTTTTTTCAACCAAAAGCATACTTATTATTCAATACAATTCTTCAATTCTAATTCTTAAAGTGGATTTCTTTTGCTGAACCAATCCCCTTGAATTTCAAACGTTACATTATCCACAGATCTCAGATGAACTGTTAGTGAATAAACAGATGCATGCCCCAATTATTCTCATGTACAGACAGTGGCACTGGCATTTCTACATTCTATAGTATTGATTCTTACTTTCTTAGCTGCATTCAAGTGAGCGAGTGCAAAATTTGTACAAAATTTTACCAAATGCAGTTACTTTTATGTACATGCAAAGTGATGCCAGTTGTTTATTGAATTTATTTTGAGAAATGTCTATCATTAAACCAGTGTGGAAATAAAACAAAAAAAAAGGTCAAGAAATGCTGGCAATTCTCAGGTCAGGCAGCACCTGCGTAGAGAAAAACAAGTTGTTTTAGGTCAAAGACCTTTCATCAGAGCCAGCTGACAAAAAAAGGTCAGTAACCTAAAAGTGCTAAGTTTTTCACTCCACAAATGCTGCCTGATCTGATGAGCAATCCACCATTTTCTGCTTATCAGATTTCCAGCACACAGAGTATTTGGCTTCTGTACAAGAATGGAGCTGTCAGCTCACATAATCAGTGAGCTTGTATGACTAACATTGCTGCCATACGTCACCAAGAGGAGCCAGGGCAGTTAGAAAGAAATAACAGTTGACCAGTTTCCATCACCTGAATTGCAAACTAGAATCAACTCTGCAATCATCCCTCAAAAACAAAACAAAAACGACAATCAATATAGCAGGCTCCTTTAGAATAATCTAAATGCCTGTTTGGTCCCATATATAAAAAAAAAATCAGCTCCAACTGGCATCATCTCATTCATGTATTCGGTATGCAAAGCTACATACTTTTGCACAATCATGCAAGTGAATGTTTTGAAAGGAAAAACCCATGAAATTGCAGATCAGAAGACCGACTTAATGCAAGGTAATGTTTTAGAAGTGGATTAAAACAGAATTGAGGCAATACTCCACTCAAAAAAAAATTTTAATCTATCCCTTCACAGTTCAAAAGATTAAACTGAAAACAAAACTGATCACAAAATAAATATTTAGCATGCTGATAAAAAGTTACAATTAATTTTAATGAGAATTTAACAGATAAGCTGATCACTCAAATTCAAAACTCTTCAATAGAGCAAATCATTTACTTCCCATTTCTTCTGGTTCTTAACTCGGACACTCGGATAATTTTAAGCAAACAGTTTGTTACCACCCCACAAGTCACTGTATACTTGAGTCACTTTCACATATCAGTAATCTTAAACTGTAAATTTAAAAGACATTACATAACCTTTAATCCTTTTCATTAGAAAACTGACAGCAGCTTAAAAAGTATCCGATTTTTAAACAGTTGAACCATTTAAATCCCTCTAACACTGTATACCTCCCCCGTCCTCTCCTTTCTTTTAAATGCATTGTTTGTGACCAAATATGAAGAATATTGAAGATTACAACCCATGAGACTGTCACAAATTATTGAAAGGATTCTGGAACTAGGGGGCATAGTCCGAGAATTGGGGACTGACTGGTCGGGGCGGGGGTTAGGAAGCACTTTTACACACATTAAAGGTGTTAAGTATTTGGAACTCTTCCACAAATGGCAGTGGATGCTGAGTCGGTTGTTAATTTAAATCTGAGATCGGCAAGTTTTTGTTAAGCAAAAGGCATTAAAAGAATATACCTGCCTTTGGTGCATATAGAGTGAGGCCACGGATCAGCCATGATCTCATCGAATGGTAGAACAGGCTTGAGGGTCTGAATGGCCTATTCCTGTTTTTATGTATTCCAGTCAACCACTACCACTAACTATTTTGGTGGGTGTGCGTGCATCGGAGGAGATAACCCTGATCTTACTACCTTTAACAGCTTCTACTTCATCCTTCCCTCAGCTCCAGAAAATCTCATTCATGCATTGCTCTCTAGATTACTCCAATGTTCCTCAGCACATTCCCATTTTTGTCCTCTAGGAGTTAATACAAACTTCTGCTGCTCACATACTAACACAGAATGTCCCATTAAATTCATTACTATTAACTGGCCTACACTGGCTTCTATTTAAGCAATATCTCAATTCTAAACATTTCACCGTGGTTTTTAAATCCCTCCCAGGTCTCAGTCCTCCACATCTTTGTAACATCTTTCAGCTCTAAAGTCCTCAATTCCTGCAGCTCTCCAATTCTGGTCCCTTGAACCTGTTTTTAAAATCACCCATCAGCACGTTTTCAGTTGTGCAGGCCCTAAGCCTTGGAATTTCCTACCTAAGCCATCACACTTCTTTACTTTTCTCTTTTTTTGATGCACCAAAAAACCTTTGTTCAAGTTATTAGCTATTTGTTTTAATTTTCCTTAAATATTTCAGCCTTCCTGTTCATGAAGTGACTTTACTTTGTTAACGATGCTATACAAATGCAAAACCTTCACGTTGACAGATGAAGACATTGTAACCCACTGCATCACTTAGTATCCTAAGTTATTCATGGCACTATATTTAACAAAAATAATTTGCAAACTAAAATACAGTCCCCTTACGTGCTTTGATATTGGCATCTCTGTATGTTCCATTAAGAATAGCTAGCTCCATCAGCTGCATCTTCTTCAAATTGTCTTCCCCCTCTGCCTGTAATAAGGACAGCCATTATTAACTATAAAAGAGAGGAATCATTTAGTGCGATTTCAATCATCATTTCTGGATTGCCATGTCAACAAAATGGCAGACCACAGCATTAGAAAATTTGTCCTATACTAAATCAAAAGCACAAACCTTAAACTGCATCCAAGTTGGTGGTATACAAGAAAAAAAGTTGGTCAACAGAATTAATTCCACAGGGGAAATTCATTGCAATAGAATTTTTATTAAAAAAAACAAGAGGATAGAAAAATCTAGATGAGTTAGAGGGAGAAAAGGGAAAGACCTATGCAAACAGTGGAAATCAGCTCATCCTTCTTGATATTAAGAGTTTAAAGAAAAAAAAACAACCAGGAATGTAAAGTAACGCAGCATCAGGATGCTTCCATTTTTGTAGAAACTGACACTAAATACTTAATGGTTCACTGCAAGAAGTTTGTGGGAAAGTAAGTAGGCAGTGTCAAGACTAGACATTAAGCTGTAATTTGAAAGTACGCTTTTTGCGGATATATATATATTTAGTAGCTACCCGAAAAGAAAGCCCCACAGAATATTATAGCTAGATGCACCAAGGGAACTTCAAATAACCACCTTTTGGGGAGAGGAGGCAGCAAATGCAAACAGATGGGACTATGATTTCATGACCACAGATATAACAATGAATTGCTAACACTGATCAACAGCAATCCATCTCCTGATTATGCTCCAAACTGCAGTCACGTGTGATTTCCTCCTTGAAGAATATGTCAGAACAGAGTTAAAAAGCTTTCAACTCTACTGAAGTAGTTAGTGGGGCTGAACATTCTTGCATCCACCAGTTGACAAAAGATACCCGTGTGCACTAGCACAAGTGTAAACATACTGCAAAGGTCACAAATCAAAAACTACCCCCAAATCACCCGCTTAGCCAAACTCGTCCTCACCCTCAACAACTTCTTTCAATTCCTCCCACTTCCTACAGACAAAGGGGGTGGCCATGGGTACCCGCATGGGCCCAAGCTACGCCTGCCTTTTTGTAGGTTACATGGAACAATCCCTCTTCCGTACCTACACCGGCACTAAACCCCACCTCTTCCTCCGTTACATTGATGACTGTATCGGCAGCGCCTCGTGCTCCCACGAGGAGCTCGAACAGTTCATCCACTTCACCAACACCTTCCACCCCAACCTTAAGTTTACCTGGACCATCTCGAATACCTCTCCCCCCCCCCTTCCT